CACCCGGGCAACCACTGGTAATAGTTTGAATATACATCCATCCTTCTGAGTTTTTCCGTGGCTGTGCAGGTTGCTATACTTTATATCCATAAATATAAAATATTTTTTGATTCACACACACAAGGAAGGCTTATGTAGATATTTTTGGCTAGGCACATTGTATTAGTTCCTAAGTTTGCTGTAACAAAGTACCAAAGGTCAGGTGAATTATAACAACAGAAATTAATCCTCTGACAGTTTTGGAGGCTAGAAATCCAAACATCAAGATGTTTCTGGGCTCTTCTCCTTCTCAAAGGCTCTAGGGACAAATCCTTCTTGGCTTCTTCCAGGTTCTGGTGGTTGCCATCAGTCCTCGGCATCCTTGGCTGTGGCCACATAACCCTGTTTGGCCATCTGCCCTCTGGGAGTCGTCGTGCGGCCTCTCTTCTTCTGATAAGAATGCATGTATATTGAATTTAAGGCCCACCCCACTTCAGTATCACCTCATCTTAATTAATCACATCTGCAAGGAACCTATTTCCAAATATGGTCAAATTCTGAGGTTCCAGAAGGACTTAAATTTTAGTGGGGGGACACTATTCAACCCAAAATACACATTTTTCAGGAGTTTATATTATTCCGTTGTGTGAGTATTGCTTAATTTAACAGTTTCTAGATTTTTTTGCTGTTATTAAAAAAAAAAGATTTGGGACATTCATATACACATATTTTTATATACATATACTATTATTTCTGTGGGGCTTCCCCAGTGTTTTAGGTGGTAAAGAATCTCCCAGCGATGTGGGAGACCCCAGGTTTGATACCTGAGTAGGGACAATCCCCTGGAGAAGGGAATGGCCACCCACTCTAGTATTCTTACCTGGAGAATCCCATGGACAGAGGAGCCTGGCGGACTATAGTCCAGGGGGTCACAAAGAGTTGGACATGACTGAGCAGCTAGCGCTTCACTATTATTTCTGTAAAACAGATTTTTGGAAGTAGAATACCTGGGACGGAAAGCATGGGCATTTTACATTTTAATAAATACTTAAAAATTATCTTCATAAACTTCTGTCAGTGTGTAACTTTCATTAACATGTATTGATCATCTACCCTGGATCTTATTGTGGTTTTGCCAGTCAAGTGACTGAAAAGTGGTATCTCACTTTAAGCTGCATTTCTTCAGTTATCAGTGACGGTGGGTGTCTTTTCAGATGTGTTTTTAGGCCATTTGTATTTATTTTTCTGTGGACTACTTGTTCATATTATCTACACAGAGAGAACAAAACAGTGCCCTTTGCCGCCAGACCTCCTGCCCAGCACGGAGGTGACCCACGAGCTGTCGGAGGTGAAGGTCCTCGGGTCTGCCATATGCCCAGCGTCCGTCACAAGGCTCTTACTACACCCTCTGACTGTACCTGTGCCTAAGGAGTGCATCCCCCATAGATTATAAGCATGGCCATACTTTATAATTCTTTCGTGTTACCCCAGGATGCCTTTGGGCACGGAAACATTTCCTAGAGTTAATTTGGCAGGTGGTGGATTGTTGTCTGTTGTTATTCTCATACATTTTTTTCTTCTAGATAAACTTTAGAATGCAGTTGTCACAGCCCTACCTCATCCCCACCTTCACCCATAAGAGACTCTGATCAGAGATTCTATCCAGTTGTGTTAAATTTATATATGTGTGTTTTTGAGTAGGCTTGATGTCTTTATGACATTTAGTCGTTTATCTAGGTCTTATTTTATATCCTTCAGTAAAATAGTTTTACCTTTTTTGTTAAGTTTTTTGCCAGTTATTATGAAGGAGATCATTTTCCATTTCTGTTTTTAAAAGATTATGGTTAGTAATGTAAGAACAAGGTTTCCTAGGTGGTTCAGTGGGTAAAGAATCCGCCTACAGTGCAGGAGATGCGGGTTTGATCCCTGGGTCAGGAAGATCCCCTGGAGAAGGAAATGGCAACCCACTCCAGTATTCTTGCCTGGAGAATCCCATAGACAGAGGAGCCTGGTGGTCTACAGTCCATAGGGTCACAAAGAGCCAGACATAACTGAAGTGACTGAGCACACACAGACACAGTATAGGAACAGTGTTGATGTTTACATGTCTAGAGATCTCTACCTTGTATTCTGCCACCTTAAATTCTCTTTTTAGTATTCTCTTCTTGTTTTCTTTTCCTCTCTGGGTTTTCTTCCTCCACCTGCTGTTCAAGCATCTCTACCTGGAAATCCCAAGAATACCTAAAGCTCAGAATAAAACTAAATTAAGTGACAGTTAAAATAATCTTTTGATACTCTTAGGTTCAGAATTGCTGCTACTAGCCCATGAAACAGGCTTCCCTGGTGGCTCAGATGGTAAAGAATCAGCCTGTAGATCATTTTCCATTGAACCCAGGATGGGTTCAATCCCTGAGTTGGGAAGATCCCCTAGAAGAGGGCATGGCAACCCACTCCAGTATTCTTGCCTTGAGAATCCCCATGGACAGAGGAGCCTGGCAGGCTACAGTCCATGGGGTCACAAAGAGTCGGGCATGACTGAGCGACTAAGCACGAACACAGCCCACGAAGCACCTTTGTGTACGTTAGAAGAATTTCTCCCAGCACTTCACTCTTGGTATGATTGTCAGAATTAATGGACTCATTTGGAATATGACATGTTATTGCAGAAAAATGTGATGATAAGTATTTGCAGCCCTCCAGTGTCTCCCTTAAATGAGGAGCTCTAGGACCATCTCAGCCTGTATAGATGGTCTCCGCAGTGCTGCTGAGAGCCATGGATTTTGTCATCACTGCCTCTGGAATCACCCCTTTCTTCCCAAGCCCACTGCCTCAGACTCGTTACATTTCCCCTCTCATCACCGTACACCTCCTCCCTCCCCAATAAGAGGACAGAAACAGAGCATAACTGGGTCTGCCTCCTCCCAGCCCCCCTCTTCCGGAAGCTAATCACGCTGCAGAATAGCCTTCCTAGAAGGAAGCCCTGGAGCCCTCATCACTGTCAGCGCCGGTGTTGTCCCCGCCCCGCGCCCTTGGGTGGTGATTCCTCTTGCCCGCACTCTCAGTTTGCTCATCTGTAAACGCAGAGTAGTGATGCCGCCTCAGTAAGTACATGGTAAGGAGAGAACAGTATACTCCCTGTGAAAGTACAGCTGACATTGGGCTTGGTGCTGATCACTTTAATCTTCTCTTCCCTTCCTTCCCCCTCCCTCACAAGTACTTTGGAAACTGAAATGCTATATAGCTGTAACATAGTATGTTGCCTCAGGGCTCTATTTTGGCAGCTTTTCTTCTGTGAGAATTAAGACTTTTCAATTGAATTTGACTCAATATAAGTTGCATTTGGGGTTTCCCAGGTGGCTCAGTGGTAAAGAATCTGCCTATCAATGCAGGAGACGCAGGAGTTGCAGGTTCGATCCTTGGGTCGGGAAGATCTCCTGAAAGAGGAAATGGCAGCCCACTCCAGTATTCTCGCCTGGAAAATCCCATGGACAGAGGAGCCTGGTGGGCTAGAGTCCACGGGGTCGGTCACAAAAGAGTCGGACATGACTGAACAACCGAACACATTCTGAACACATGATTACTTATGCCTCATTGTATGTCTGTTACCCGGAGTTCTTGTGTTTTGGCAAAAGTTCATCATATTTGACCTCTAATAAGGAACATGTGAAAATACTCCAGAAGGGAAAATAAGAGGGTAACTGCAGCCTCAGCGTGCCGCTAAAACAGGTGCAACTGAAGGTTTTTCCACTGCCCCTGGAGCCTCGCAGCGATCACTGTGTGCTGTGGCGTGTGCTCGTTCCAGGGGTGAGAATAGTGGGTGGTGCTGCATGCGGGAGACACAGAGTCTGCAGGAGATGGGGGCTCAGGGGACATGCTGAGCACACGCACCGCCCTCCCCCGGTGAGTGTTTCTTATCCTGCAGACTCCTGCCTTGTGCTCACTACAGAAGATGTTTTGTGTTAAGAGTCAGTTTCCACGTCTGTTTCTTGGCTCAGAGAACTGATTTCCTTTCAGCCACTTTCGATTGTTGTCTTTTGTTCTAGGCTCTCTCCTGATTGGGTTTTCATTGGGCTTTAATCAGAAACCATCTGGTGAAACATTTTGGATTCAAATTAAAGATCTATCACAAACACATATCTCAGAGAACACAGATGAAACCCAGACTGGACCAGAAAGCAAACAAGACATAATGTAATAATATTATGAACAGAATAGTCTCAGAGGGAAGGAACGCAGAGAAAACCAAGAAGGGCTGCATAGAAACAGAGCCAACCCCTCAAAGAGGGACCCACCAGAGTAGGGTGTGGGGGAGCCATCGAGCGCTCACATCAGGGCCTGAGTGGGATGTTCTTCTAGTTCTGACCACCCTGCAGTCCTTGGGGCTGGAAGCCACAGTTAGTAGCCCTTTCCCCTCCCCTGAAGTGGGATAGAGCGCTGATGAGCAGAGGCCATTTACTTTACTCCACAGATGGGCCCTGAAAAGTCCCATCTCTCCTCTCCATCCCTTCTCTCTGCACCCTTTCTCACTCTTCCTTCCCAGGGCAGTCCTGGCCCCACCTTGTACCTGTGAGCCTGGGGTCTAGGATATCAGAGAAATGCTGGCATCACTGGCAGTGGGATCACCCTGCCTGCCTGCCCCTCCCCCATGTGCTGTAGCCGGTTCAGACCTGTTGGTCACAGGTTAGAAAACTGGGAAGGAACTGCATCTCCAACCCCATGTCACAAATACCGCTCGCCAAACTAACTGACTTCAGTTGTTGATCTGACTAAGGAGATACTTGTACATGTTAAAAAATACTTTCCACAAAGCCTGGAAGAGTTTACAGAGAGAAGGACCTCCCCTCTCCACCTCTGTCCCCTAGCTAGGCTGTCTGCTTCCTTCTTGAGAGTTCACTTATTTGATATGTACCTTTTCAGAGGTCACCCATGCTGATCACCGTGAGCTTTTAAAATTATTATGCCTCTCTGTCTCCTGGATTCACCCGCTGTATTTGCTTTCTCCACATGCCTTCCTCTGTCAGACTTTGATCCCTGGTGGACAAATGACTGTGAGCAGAATGAGTCGGACCCCATCCCTGCCAACTGCACTGGCTGTGCCCAGAAATTACCCCTCCAGGTGATGCTCCTGGAAGATACCCCAAGGAAATTTGAGAGGCTGCATCCTCTGGTAATCAAGGTGCGCAGAAAGACTGGTTCTCCCACTGCCTTCATAACCCATTAAATGGCTAGAAAGCATCAAGCCCTGGGACATTCCTTATAAGTAATTTCGTGTTGTCTTGTTGCACTTTTGTTTTCTGCCTCCCCAAGACGGGACAGTCCCTGTCGACTGAAGGGCTTCAGGATTTTTTGTGCCAGTATCCGGAGGTGACAGAAGGCTTCACCGAAGGGTTTTTCACCAAGTGGTGGCGCTGCTTTCCTGGACGGTGGTTCCCGTTTCCGTACCCATGGTGAGTGCAGAAAGGGGCAACCAGCCATGTGTGTGTGCGTGTGTGTGTGTGTGTGTGTACAGAAAGAGGGCAGACCAAATGTCAAAATGGTACTGCCATGACCCTGCTATGCCCGGCACCGTGTAAACTTTACCACACACCCTCCAAGTCAAGTGATAACTCCAGAGCAGTGTTGAAAACCTGATGGGAGAGAAAGGGGCTGAGTTGATGAAGTGTGTCAAGAGGGGCGTCACCATGGTGGACACCGAGATTGCCTAATAGAAGCACAGTTTACTTCTAACTGTAGTGTTTGGCATTGCTTTCATGCTGAGTGGGTCCTGAGTGTTGAGGACTGCAGAGAGAGCATAGAGAATAAAAGGGAAGGTTATTTCTTGGCATTTGTTGGTGCCAGGCAGTGTGCCTTGATGCTTAATGTCTGTTCCTCATTGGAGATGCTCATCATGGCGCTGGGAAGTCGAAATTGTCATTGTCGTTTTTCCATTCAGGAAAAGTGGGAATCAGAGAGGTTAAGTACTTTGCTTAAGGTCACCCAGCCAACACTGAAACCCGCATCTGTCTCCCTGTTCCTTCTTGGGTCTTATAGAAGACATGGGCCATTTCTTGGGGGTGAAACTTGCTTTCTACAAAGAAAAGGAATGCCAGTTTACTTCTAGAATTGTTCCGAAGAGGATTAAAACTGCTTTTTCAGGCTTTTTGTTGGGTAGTTTCTCTGCTTCTGCCTTTCTTTAAATTTGCTGTTTATTTGCATGATCAAATACTCGGTTTATGAGTTGATACAGGCTTCCCACGTCATACTGCTCCACTTCAAAAGGGTCATGATTGTTGCCCCCTCCTCCTCCCTTCTCCTTTCTTGCCCTGCCTGCTGTTACTTCAGTCTCTTTGCCAAGAGAGGATGAATGGAGTGTTTCTTTTCTCCCTCTATATGTTGTTTTAGCTGGATTTTATAAACATCCCACCCACACAGACAAATTGTGGCTGTAGAGTGAGTGAGTGTGTGTGTGTGCGTGTGATGTTTCAGTTAATTGATTCGGCATGACTGTTCTTCATGGATGGAATACTTCAGTTGTTGTCCTGACATCTTTCCTTCTTCACCCACAACCCACAGTTTTCCCATCCTTGCCAAGCTCTCCTTAGCCATGGTTTTGGGCTGGCTTGCCCAGTTTAACTACCTTTTCCCTCTTGTACACATTCTACAGGAGAAGACCCCTGAACAGATCACACATTTTACATGAGCTTTTCCCTGTTTTCACCTATCTGCCGTTTCCAAAAGAAGCCTCCTTGAAAAAATGCTTCCTTCTTCAACCAGAACCTATTGTGGGGAGTAAGGTAGGAAATTCTGAGAAGATTTGGATCTAGAATTTTTCTTGTTTGGTACCTGGGCTGATGTCATAATCAAAGCCTTCCCTGCATGTCAACTTAGAGGGTGAGCTGAAGGGTCATCCACAGAATCTGGAGTTCTCTCTTCCTGCTGCTTGCCAACACACCTGCAGCGGCCTGACTTTTTACTGAAGGCATGCTTCCAGAAAGTCTAGTGACCTTGCAGATCTATTACGTGCCCTTAACACCTGGGGGCAAGCTACCTTTCTACATTAAAGGAAGTAGAATCCTCAAGTTTAAAGAGTCCTGAGCATGCAGTCAGACTGCTCTACCTCCAAGTCGAGAGCAGGCAGACTGTGAATGAATAGTGTGTAAATGAACAGTCCAGCGTTTCTCATTTTGTAGGTATAAGGAAACTGACCTCCAGAAAAATTAAATGATTTGCCCAAGGACACAGCAAGTTACTGAGAGGTCTCACCACCTTCCACTCTCAGATTGGCTTTCCCCAGAAATAAACACATGAGAAGCTTCAGATGAAGAGCAAAAAGGGAGAGCAGAAAGCTTGGGAGTGTTGTTCGGAACCAAGGGCTGACAAGCACATGCCTAAGGCGGTGTGTGCAGCACTGCCTCCTCCCCTCTGTCCGTGGCCAAGTACCCGGAGCCCACGATTATACTCTGGGGCTGGCGGACTGGCTAGAACTGTTCTGTCCTCGTGTCTGTTTACTTTTCTCTGAATTGCTCTTTTGTTGAATCTCAACCCTGAGGAAGCTTTTTGAGTCTGGATTGGTTTGGAATAATCAAAAGGGTGAATTTTCCTTTGTTAAAAAATTAAATTTGCTGAACTGTGACCCCTACCAACTCTGGATTGTGTCTTTAACCTCCTGACACTATTGTTTGGGTCCAAATGTGCTGAATCGTGTTAAAGGAATTTCAAAGCCTTTAAAAAACAATCATTTTGTCTAGAAGTAAACTTCTGCCTGCCAGCTGTAGGGTGGAGGTGCTGGGCTCTGGCCTCAGGTTTTTAAGAAGTTTATTCTGCTGTCTTCAGCTAGAACTCGGGGCCTTATTATGATTTCATCTTCATAATTATGATACATGAAAAAATTTTGGGTGAGGGCCTTTATCACTGTCTTGGGTTTTCCCACTTGAATCTTAATTTCACCAGTCTGCCGAACAGGGACACCAGGGAGCCCAGCCAAAGGGGTAAATACAGAGTTCCGCAGACGCCTGTCAGAATCATCTTGTTGTGGTTCTCAAGGATGTTTTTGGAAGGGGAGTGGCCCAAATAGGCAGAAATCCTGAGAGTCTGATTTCTTAGAGCATCTGTTCCCCACCCTGGCCCAGGCTCTCCTTTCTCCACAGCCACGTTACTCCACCCTTGGTCCACATCCCTGGGCCCTGGACTCTGGTAAAGTCATGTGTCTGTGGGCCCAGATTCCAGGAGGTAGCCTTGGGATAGAAGATGAGCAGTGGGGTCCGATTGTTTTAGAGACCCTGGGGGAAGAGGTGAGGGGCTCCAGGGCCCACTTTTCCCACCCCAGGATGTTGCCTAGGGCTGGACCACTCCATCCTGTCGTCTGTTTCTCCTGAATGTGGAGGAGCTTGGTCCCAGCCCTCTCAGGCCTATGTGAAATAGAGACGTATCTGCTTAGCTTTTGGCCTTCTGGAATTTTTTTCAAGACTGCTCATGACAGGGCTTCTGTCAGTCACAGCAGCTCCAGACACTCGTCCTCCTTCTGTCACTACAGCAACAGTTGCAGTGGCTCAAAGCGTTTCCATGGACACAGAGTCATGGCCAGGGCCTGTGGGGAGCAACAGAGAGACCAGGGTTGGGAGGCAGGAGACAGTAGGGCCACACTCTCAGGCTCTGGAGGACCCAAATGGTAGGAAAGAAACCAGGACGCGGCCTAAGGAGTCGGACTTCTGACTCCTGCTCTGTAAGGGTGCATGAGGGGTTGGGGTTTTCTCTCGCCATCTAGACAGGAAGAGAAGTCTGACCAAGTGCGCCCTAGACAGGAAGAGAAGTCTGACCGAGCGCGCCCTGTCCCTTTGTCTATACTCCCTGCCCCTCCCAAGCCCCAGGCACACAGCAGGTTGCACTTAGTGCCTGCGGGAAGCAGGACTGATTCCCCGGTGGTTCAATGGTAGGGAATCCGCCTGCCAATGCAGCAGACGCAGGAGATGCCAGCTTGTTCTCTGGGTCAGGAAGATCCCCTGGAGGAGGAAATGGCAACTCACTCCAATATTCTTGCCTGGAAAACTCCATGGATGGAGGAGCCTGGCAACTACAGTCCATATGCCCTCAGAGTGCTGTAGTTACCCGTGCAGTTGTACATCCTTAGCTTTCAAAATCAGAGGCTGATCTTACTGTTACTAGTCCTTAATCAGTAGCATCATGTATCTGCTCACCTGGGTCTTGCCAAAAAATTGTAAACTTGAACTTGCTGCTGTCTGATTCTCTTGAAAAGTCTGACAGTAAGAAATAATATTTCACAGACCATTGCCCAGAGGATATGTAGACTGTCTGTTTGGATCAAACTAGAACCGCAGAAGATTGCATATTTAGACCACCACATGTTGGCCTCTGTGAGACTTTTGTTAAAATACAATTAGATATTTTGCCTATGACCTACTTGGAAACTATGGCTAGAAATTGTGAATTATGAAGCTTGAGCCATTTCTGCTACAGGGCTGTCATTGCAGATGTTTCCCACAAAACTACACAATGTCTCTTTAAGAAAAACCCTAGAAGAGATCTTACCGTGGGACTTCCCTGACAGTCCAGTGGTTAGGACCCTGAGCTTCCATGGCAGAGAATGCAGATTTGAACTCTGGTTGGGAGCTAAAATCCCCCATACCTCCTTGACATGGCCAAAAAAAAAACCAGAAGTCTTCCCTTAGCCTTAGTACGGGGAGATGCCATGCTTAGCAGAAACTAATTTGTTTTTTGTCTTTCAAACAAAATTGTGAGTTTTATTCTTGGTTCTGTCTTCCTCTTTGCTTAGGCTGCTAGGAAATCCAGAGCCACATGTGTAAGAATTTTTGCGTGTTCCTCTCCCATGCCCCAGGATTTGACTTGGTTTTCTTTTGCTTCCTTTCCTTCCCCCGTGTCCTCTCCTCCAGATGCACAGGATGCATGACCTGTTCACCATCGGCAGCGGGGAGGCCATGCTGCAGCTCCTCCCGCCCTTCCAGTGCCGCAGCCACTGCCAGTCCGTGGCGATGCCGCTGGAGCCAGGCGATATCGGTAGGTGGAGCCCCCAGAGGGCAGGGTCAGCCGCAGGGTCTTTCTAGGTTTTAACTCAAAAAGGCATTCTAAAAAGTAAACACTGCCTTCGCAAAGATTTATTAAAATCAAAAATAGCTTTTTTTTTTATTAGCAAGGTCGATTATTTATGCTTAGATGTAATGATGAGTGTGCATTACTGAAAAAATGTAGCAAAGAGAAATGGGTCATATGCACGTTTAGAATGCATGTGTCCATTGGCTTTAGAGATTTCACATTAGGAGGAATTGTTATGGAAAATATTTAGAGCAGCACTTTGTTTGCAGATCAGGACATTGAGACCAAGAGAGGAGAGGTGGCCCTTCCAAGGCCCAGCCGTCAGTTAGGCAAAGCCTCAGTCTTAAGTGACTCCTTTTACTCACTCAAGCCAGAGGAGGTGCAATTCAGATCCGGTGAGACCCTTTCTGCGCCCAGTTTGCTAGTAAACCAACTCAGGCAGTGTGTAAGGGCAACACTCACACAGGAAATACTACCTTCCTTGTGGATCCCATAGTCTGGTCACAGCCTCACAGTCATGGCCCACCCTTGGCTCCATGAGTTCCCGACTGTGACTTGTTCTGTGCCTTACCATCTACAAATCGGTTCCGAAGAAACAGACTTGAGTCAATCGCTATCAGTTTGACAATAGAACTTTTTTGGCAGAAGCAAAATAAATCAACAAACATCACCGTTGCCCTTCTTGTTTTTCTTGCTTGTTTTTCTTTCACAAAACCTAGGGGAGCCCTGACTCCCTGACAGAGCCCAGACTGATTTTCCAGTTTATTTCTTTTAATTTTTTTTTATTTGGAAGACCCCAGTCCCTAGAAACCTCTCACCTCGCTTGGAGGTAGGGTGCATACTGAAAACTGCCGGACTTTAATCCAAGTTTCATAACTTTTATTTCAATTTAAAAATGACAAAAATGCACAAATTAAGCACTTAGCCGATAATGGAGCACAGCTGGCTTGGCCCTTGAGAATTACTGCAAAAAGAGAGGATTCTTGTGTGGAAATTAGTCCAAACCTGTCGTTCTGTACTGGAGTGACGCTGCACAAGTCTGTGTGGCATTCTGGTTTTGGAATGTGTAGCTGTGCTTGAAAAAGTTTCTGTCTTATGTTCTCCAAAGGCCTGACAGTTCAGACAGCTCCAGAAACACGTTCGTTACCCAAATTCCAGGTTTTCAGCTCCCACAAGCATCCCGAGTGCCAATTATAGAATTTAGGAAAAAAGGGGAAAAAAAATGGGTGACTGGCAGTGATCAAAGAAGCTTTGATTCGGTGATCAAAGGCTGGTGTGGCTAGTCCAGAATGGCCCAGAATCCGGAGACTGATCCTTGTCTTTCTGTGACCGGCCAGTCGCTGACCGGAGGGAAAGGAGCCCTGTGCTTGGCAGTGTCTGTGAAGGGCAGAATGTGACAGGAATGTGGAGAAGGGATGGAGGCTGATGAGAACCAGGGGAGAGGGCAAGTCAGGAGAAGGCTGGGGGTGGGGAGGCCTGGGGAGGACAGTGGGCTTGGGAAGCAGCGGCAGAAGTAGAAGCAATGGCTTCAGCTGCTGCAGGGAAAAGTGAGGAATGACAGTGGAAGAGAGTAACTTTAGTGCTGTAAAACAGATGGCCACTCTTGCACCTCAGAGACCCTCAAGAATAGCACCATGTCAAGGAGATTCTGTGTTTTTTGACAAAATAAGCATCATCCCATGATGGTTGGGTTCAGAGGACAGTGTTCAAGATCACCAGAAAACCCATGATGGACGACATTTTCAAGAGTTACGTGGGTGTTGAGTGTCAGAGACTGACGCTGGTAAGCCCATGTTACCTGCCATGATGGTACAGTCACAGCTCATAGTGACCTTTCTTGAGTCACCAAACAGAGGTTACATTCCATTCAATGCTCTAAGTTTAAAGATGAGTGGTGTATATCCTTCTCTAGAAAATTTTTCATCAGGAAGTTACTGAAGTATTAAAAGTTTTTTGATTTTACCTTTCTAGCCCATTCCTAGATATCATTGCTCAAATGATACAGGTCATGACCCTAGGGTTCATAAAGCAGCCCCTGGGAAAGACCCTTGGCAAATAGGGCTCTTGAGTCACTGACTTTGGGAAATGCCTGTCTTGTTGAAACACAGTACACATTAGTGTACAAAAGGCTCTGAAAAGCCCTGGAGGGATCTACTGGTTTTCAAACTTACTTGACCATGGAACCCTTTTTCCCCTGAGCTGTATTATAGGGTGCTACTGTTTGCAGAATACAATTTAGGAAGTATTGGTTTGGGTTAATCTGGATGTTGCAAGAGACATGTTGTATATTACCTCAGGAGAATTGGACAGGGCGCCCTGGCCTCCCCTAGAACCCATCCTGTTTTTTTGCTGAAAAAAAATGACCCTGAGAATTGATGTTCCATATCAACCTTATCTGGGACTTCCCTGGTGGCTCATTGGTAAAGAATCTGCCTACAGTGCAGAAGCCACAGGAGATGCGGATTTGATCCATGGGTCAGGAAGATCTGCTTGAGGATCCCCTGGATGAGTATGGCAACCCACTCCAGTATTCTTGCCTGGAGAATCCCACGGACACAGAAGCCTGGTGGGCTACAGTCCATGGGATCACAAAGAGTCAGACACGATTGAAGTGACTTAGCACACACACATGCACATCAGCCTTATCTAGGGCTTCCCAGGTGGCAATAGTGGTAAAGAACCCACCTGCCAATGCAGGAGACATAAGCTGCGAGTTCGATCCGTGGGTTGGGATGATCCCCTGGAGGAGGGCATGGAAACTCACTCCAGTATCCTTACCTGGAGAATCCCATGGACACGGGAGCCTGGGCGACTACCGTCTATAGGGTCGCACAGAGTCGGACACAGATGAAGCCACTTATCACACAGATGCATCAGCCGTATCTAGAACATCCTGCTTTCTTAAACCTGCTGAACTGTGATTCACGGTTACCCAGGTGAGGGGTGACTCTGAAACACTTTGGTTTGTGGTTGGATGAACCCACTGGATGTCAGCTTTCAGAGAGGACTGATGATAGCTGGGGACACTTGTGCTAGGAGGAGCTCACGGACCTCCAGAGCAGGCATGGCCTGAGTCTGTAGGTGAATCTGAGGGCAGCTCTGCAGAACCACCTAGCTTGTGCCCACTCCCTGCCACTCACACACTTTCCTTGTCGCTGTCTCCCTTCAAGGCTACGCTGGTGCCACCCACTGGAAGGTCTACATTATAGCCAGAGGGGTCCAGCCTTTGGTCGTCTGCGATGGAACCACCCTGTCAGAGCTATAGGACACAGATCTAAAGGAACAGCTTTGAGAGCTGAAGACCAGATCGAAAGGGGGAGAATAAAAACAAAAAACGATGAAACCACTCTCCAGGGGTTGGTTACTTAGTCACCTGCCCCGTGCATGCGTGTGTGAGCCAGTTGTGTGCTGGAGGCAAAGGCCAGAGCCAGGGCCTCCCAACTCTTCCAGCCCAGCCACTTGGCCGGGACTCCGCCACCAATACCGGTCTATGAGAGACGGGCCTCTGCCCGGCCTCTTGGCACCAAAGCCTGGAGGCTGCCTTCAGGCAGGGAGCAGGGTTGGTACCGTCCCTCACTTGCATGGCATGATCCCCTCTGCTGGCTCCTGGCCACGAGAGGGCAGTCAGCAGGTCCTGACTTCATTGCCATCCTCTGTCAGGTGGGCCTGCCTGTCCCGTCTCCCTGGTAACCCCACCCTGTACATCTTTTGGAAAGCCACGTATGGTTAAAGAAGTCATGTCGGTTTCTTAAGCAGAGTAGAATCTCCAACCAGTGAAAAGGATGAAATAACGGCAAACTGCACTCGAGAAGTGCATTTCCTTCCCAAGTGCGCGTGGCTCTGAGAGTCTCCGATGCCAGGTCAGAGCCTGATTGTAATTGGAGCAGTAATTCCTAAGGTAATACCTCTCTCCATTCTGTCAGGTTCTCAGTCTCTCCCTCCCTCGCCTGTCTGGCCGGCATCTCAGCAGTTGGGCTCCCAGCGCCCCTCCCTTGGCCCGGCCAGAGTCCTTTACTGCTGAGGCAGCACCGCTCTCATCAGCCGTGTTGCTTTTACCAAATGTCTTCAGAGGGGGGTGAGTTAAGAGTGCTGGCCCGGGGAGAGGGCGCCTCCCCGGGTTTGATCTTTAGGGTCCGACTTTCTGCAGAAAAGATGTTTTACAGATGTGTCAAAATGATGTTGTCATGTGGCTAGGGAAGGAACTCCAGACGCAAAGTGCTGGTCAGCTGGGCGTGCGACTGTGCGACTCTCTGTCTTGAAATGATTTCTCTCTCTGTACTGGGAACCAAAGTGAGGTGTTTTTAATTCTTGTGAAAATACAAAACCGTGTTCCTTTTGATTGGACAATTTGCTCTGCTTGTTGTTTTCCCCAAGTGCTTTTTGTATGTCTTAAGTATACAAATAAGGACACTCTTTTTTTGTTTCCTTTCCCCCTTTATTAATCCTTATATTGACTTTGTTAAATATCTGGCCTCTGATCATGCCATTGCCAAGCTGAAGGAAAAGAAGCAGATTACGCTACAGCCTCTGGTTCTAAACTGCAGAAATCAGACAGATAGTGGAGGTGTCTGCTGTGTTGAGTTACAGACCAGAGGCAGACAGTGGTGGGGGGAAGAGGATGGGACTCACTGCGGGGTCTTTGCCATCCTTTGGAGGCACCCCTGTACCTTGTCCCAGGCCCTCTCTCTACACATCTCATGAGCATCAGTGAGGATCACTGGGGGCTTGTAAAGGACAGGGAGGGTTCACAGAGCTCAGAGCCTCCTCCATGGACTTGAGTGAAAGTAGGATGAACTGTACCTGAGGGAATTTTTGCTTAAAAGAATCAGTACCATGTGTGAAGTAATACAGGAAAAACAAAACTTCATGTCCATATAAAAGGCATGCTGCTAAGCAGTTAGAATTTAAAAGGTTTTAAATCAGAGGGACCATTCAGAGGCCAACTTTGTGCATACTTTTAAAGCCTTTGCAATATCCGTGCCCCTGATGATTCGTAAACAATTTCCTTAGAGGTCTCTCAGAGTTCTCTTAAATTAGGCCCTTTGGGTTAACAAAAGAGAGGCTTCCTTAGGAGCAAAGCAACTGTTTTGATGGTTGAAATTCCCTGTTGTGTTTTTATGAATTACCCCGTGTTCCTTCCCCATTTTATTCTGGCCCATCACACCTTAAATGATCTTAAAATGCCCTCTTCAACTCAAAACTGAAAGACCCTTGTGTGTGTTGGTGTTCTGAGGTCTCCTGTGGGAGGTCCCCAGAGCTGTCAGCTGTCTTCAACAAAGAATGGTCTGGCAGCAGATAAGTAGAAACTTAATGTGTGTACACTACTCATTTTACTTAAAATCTGTCCAGTTCAGAATTGAATGCAGATTTATGTTAGGGGTGAAATTCTTCAAAGAAGGTTTTTTAAATAATGTACCTTCTTCTCAAGGTAATTCTGAAAAGCAGAATCTACCACTGACCAGTCAGTGGTGAGTGAGTTACCAGCTAGTTCCTTTCCAGTTACCCAAGGCTTTGTGTGAGGGTGCCGCAGGGTCACCCCTGCTCACCTAGCTCTCAGCTCCTCCGTGGAAGCAGCAAAAGTTCCTCCACATGACCCAGTGTGGGAAGGAGGCTCATAAAGATGAGGAAGCAGGGTCAGGGGGCTGGTGGGGCCATAGAAATCCCCATGTCTACCACCACCCTAAGAACAAAGCCACAGGGCTTGCTTTAAACAGAAGGCCTTGCTCACAAGTTTGCTGAGTGTTTACCAAGAGGTGACATGGCAGTGAAACTCATGTACTGAGTTTCTCTGGGGAGAAGTCAGCTCTCTAGGGGAGAAAGGCTGCTTTGGCCCCAGTTTGAGGCATTATATCCAGGTGTCTTGAGGTCCCCAAAAGTCAGATGTTGAAAAGAACACTACCCCTGTTCTGGTTCATGAAGAACATAAGTTGAACTTACCCTCTCCCCACTCTCAATTTTTTCAGCAGGGAGAGAGAGTTTCATAACCATGGTTTATGAAAACAGAATCTGCCTCTTTGGTGAAATACAAAACAGTCCATGAAACAGACAAATTTGGGGTCATTTTCTGAGAGAAAGACATAGTAATGTTTCTTAATAACGAAATAGTCCATTCCAGCTTCAGATTGTCTGGGTACACATGATTTTCTCCTCTGATCTTTGCCCAGTCCTGTGAAACAGATATGAGAGCCTCATTTACAAGTAAAGAAACTGGGGCTAAGGACAGTTCCTTTGCTGGCGGTCGATGGCTGGTTCCACAGCACGGTGTCTTCCTGCTCCGGTGCAGAGTGCTGCCCAGGAATGAAGCCATGGGTCAGACTGACTCTGGTGTGCCCAGCTGAGTGGGAGAACCTAGGGGCAGGGTCAGCAAGCCAGGAGCTCTTCGGGGTTTGTTTTTGAAACTGTTTGAGACAGAAATGGAGAGAAGCTAACAGATGACTTTTATAAAAAGCCTTTTCCTTTTCCCGTCCCCATCTGAAAGCGCTTTTTAGGAGTTAATGTTCTAGCCATTCTCCCATCACCACAAGTTTCCAGATGTGAGCAGCAGAGGGACTCAGCCCAATTCCAGTTGTGGGTCCCCTTGGAGTTTACATCACTTGTTTTTTTTGTTCGCGGTTTTCTATTCCCTTCTTCCAAAACCTAGCCTCGGCCTCGGTGTAGGAGCAATTTTAAAACAAAATAATTCCTTAGCTGCAGGTGATGGCCTCAGTCATTTTATATTTTTTATATAGGCAGTGTTCTTTTTTTTTTTTTTTTTTTTTGGCTGCACCACACAGCGTGTGGGATCTTAGTTGCCCGACCAGGGTTGAACCCACACCCCCTGCACTGGGAGCACGGAGTCTTAACCACTGGAACACCAGGGAAGTCCCTCAGTCATTTTAATACAGTCTGGATGCAGTTTTGCTCATTAGCCAGTGGCTTCCATAGTGAAAATTGACACCCTCAGAGTAGATGTTTGCTTCTCATGTAATCCTCACCCAGCAGAAGGCCAGGTTGTAGAGGAAAGAGACTAGTGCAGGGGGAGAGTCGATCTTGTCTACCTTTTGAGAATCACTTATTAAACAGGAATATTGTAGACTTTTGAGTTTTCCTATTGCTAGAAGACAAACTCTCCTGACTTAACAAGTTCCACACTCCTTAACATCCCCTTTCCAGCTTTTTCACCCACTAAAATTGGTTGAAGGAAGGGAGTGCCAGAGATGTGCTTTAAAGTAACATTTTGGTCTGAGAATCTCTCCATGTTCAGACCCACGGATATTGGGTCCAGAGCTGACGCACGTCAGGGCCAGGAGACTAGGAAGGTGAGGTGCTTACAGAGCGAGCTCTGTCACAAATGGAAAGTTTGGTTGCCATCAGCCTCTCCATATCCAGCAGCTGCTTCTTCAGAAGCATCTCAGAGAAGATGGACAGGTGGTCTCCCTCGTGCACACATCCAATCCACCCGCCCTGGGCGCGGCATGGCTCTAAGTGCTGGCCCTGGTGAGAAGCCCTCCAGCCAGCTCGTCTGTCGTCCAGGTCGCTTTGCGTCTGGTTTCTCTGCCCTGCATAATTTCAGCATTAGAGCTAACTACATCCGTCAGTTCTCCCTCTCTGGAGACCGTGAGACGTCCAGATCTTTGCAGAATACTGGAGAGAAGAGATGTTACGAAACTCCCAAGCGGAGGCCTGGAATGGTCTAGACGTGATGGGGCTGCCCACGGGCCACTCCTGCCTTCTTGCATCTGTCTCTCTGTCTGTCAGCCAGTGTCAATCCAAGAGTGAGCCATATCTGCAGACACCCGTGCTGAGAAGGGAAACCAGCTTAGTTTTGAGTTTCAGACAGAAATTGGAGAGTCGGGACATCTGCTTCACACCAGGCTTAATTTACCTCTTTATCCCTCTCCACGGCTCTGTGGGGGAGGCAAGGTCAGCCTGCAAAGCCACCTTGACCTACAGCTCAGCAGGGTCCCAGCCTTCAAGCTTCAGCCCCTCAGAGCACTTCCAGCCTTTCCAGAAACAAACTCTTACCTGTGAGAATTGGTGACCGGAACTGGGCAACACAGGCCGTCATTCCCAGAGAAGACGCGGCCTCCGTCATAGATGACCTTCCCTCCAAACTTCTCTCCATAGTCTCATCCTCAGAAGAATTCTGGCCATGGTCTCTTCCCCCTCGTCCTTCCTGCGGGAAGGTCAGTGACAGACCCCTAGGGCGGAGGGGAGAAAACTGGAGAGGCAGAGGTGAGCGGGAACTGGGCGCTCAGCAGAGTCCCTGCCGCCACCAGGGACGAGATCCAGGACAGCTGCAGTTCCTCTTGAGGGAGCCAGGGGTGGCGGGCCCCATGGGGGGGGTCCCAGTGAGCAGAGGGTGGACACCTGTCCAGCCATGTGGGCTCCGAGTGGTCTAAGCCGTTACTCTGTTCAGTGTGGAATGTTGATTGTAACTTAATATACCGAAAACTTGTAAAGAATGTATGTACATTAAGGTTTCATGTGACAAAAGTTTTTACTTTTTGCAATAAAAAGTGTGTATGTTGGTTGATAAGAACTCGCCTGTACTTGGTGTCATCCTTTGGTTTCCCATTTTCTCTTCTCCCACAGCTCGGAGACTGATAGTCACATCCTACTCCTGAGGCAGGCCTCTGCTGTGGGCCTCCAGGTCACCTGTCCACCCTGGCCTGGGCCCTGTCTCACATCCACACCGTGCTTTGCACTCACTCACATTCACAGATGCTTCTTTTACCCCTACTCTAACCCTTTGCCTGCCATGGCTTCTGGTCTCCTGTTCCCATGAATTCTCAAATCTCAGTCCTCCTGTTAGTACCCTCCTCTGTTGTTGTACTTTGCCCAAAATTCAAATGAGACCCTCAACCCCTTTTTCCTTCTCCCAGCGGGCTGCTGCACGCAGCCCAGGTGCCCTCACAGCGTCGCCCCACCCATAGGTATCCTTGGTCCTTGCAGGAGGACAGCGAGGCCCCCTCGCTGGCTGGCGCCCTCGTTAGCTCATCCCCATGCCCCCCGATTGAGGCCACTCACAGCACTGAGTCAGCTCAACTGCAGATTTGATCTAAGTCATTTTTGTGTGTTCATTCTTTTTTGATAATTTCTTTGTGCTATATGCACAATTTTATATAAATGCATAAATATGGCCATTTCCTATATAGTGTTTAGTGTTCTCTTTTTTCTTCAGTTTTTTAAAAAAATAATATATATATATATTTTTTTACTCTTTTGGCTGTGATGTACAGCATGTGGGATCTCAGTTTCTCAACCAATGCAGGCCCTCTGCATTGGCAGCATGAAATCTTAACCACTGGACCTCCAGGGGTGTCCCCTGATGCACCCTTCTCCCTCCCCCCAACCTCATCCCTCCTCTTCCCTGGTCAGGCGAATGTAATATGTATACAGCCATATCCTGCCATGTATCTTCCCACTCTTTCTTCCATGTTCTCTGTAATCATAATCAGAAATCACGAGACTTTTGCCATTGCTTGGCCAGAAGTGGGATCATATTACAGGCATTTGATGTTTCTTGCTTTTCTTAATACCTCACAGACTTCCCTTCAAGTCAGCTGGCATAGCTCTCTAATCCATTCTTTTTAGTGGTTAATATTCTATGGTGTGATATGCCATCATGTATTCAACTCTTCTCTTGCTGGTAAATCACATCCTGTTCAATGATTATCTAGATTATAAGTCAAGGAGTCTAGAGTTAATTTTTTTAATGCTTGTTTTTACAAAATGTATATTCATTCTTGTTTGTGCCAAGTCTAAGGTACATTCTTTGAAAATTAGTGCATTCCATAATGCTATTCATTAACCTGCTTGAAAACTGCATTTCAACCAAAAAAAAAAAAAAGAAGGTAAGTCTTGATTCCATGTAAAAAGGTGGCAGAATCATCAGGCCCCTTCTTTCTCGACCCCGCTATAGCCCTTGACACTGACCTGTGGAAAAACCCCTCCCTCCCCTGGCTTCTGTGTGACCACTGCTCCCCTCTTGAGACTCCTCTTTCCACTCATCTCCTCTATAGGTCCTCCCGCCCGTCTCTGAAATATTAGTCTCCTCTACCAGTCTGCCCCTGGATCCTCCTCTTTGCTTCCTCCCTGGGAGAGATCTCAGCTCTTTGCTTTACCTTCCACCCATGGACAAGTCACCTGTGAGCTCAGGCCAGGCCCGCTCCTCACCTGAGCTCTAGACTTGTCAATCCAAGCATCAGGATCTCATCTCCATCAGCTCTCTCCCAAAGCACTTCTGATTCACCATGTACAAAGCAACTGTGTAGTCTCCGAGGGTTCCTGTCTTCCCCCCCAGCCTCTACTTCTGGTCAGGACCAAGCTCTGGAGACCTCTGCCTCCTTGCCACATGCCCAGCCCGGGTTTAGAACCTTGCTGTTTCACTCCTGGACTCAGACAGTAATTGCCTTGTTTGTTTCTCATGTACTCCCTACCATCCCAGTTCACCATCCACTTAGCTGCCACGGGGATCTTTCTAAAGCATCTGTTCCCTCACTTCCTTGCTCAGCACCCTTCAATGGCTCTCTATTACCCACAAGATAGGAAGTCCTGGCTGGCCCCTCCAGCCTCATTCCACTTCTTTCCTGTGCTTTCCCTCCTCATCTACTGTGCCCCACCTCTACTGGACTGTCCATAATTCCTAGAAACATCCAGACTGTGGAGTTTGTCCTCTTTTTTTTTTTTTTTAAGAGAAGTTTTAGGTTCATAGCAAAATTGAGCAAATAGAAAGTTCTTGTATACCCCCTACCCTCACACAGGTTCCCTCAACTATTGACTTCCTGCACCACAGTGGTACATGTTAAAATCAATGAACCTACACTGACATCACCACCCAAAGTCCATAGTCCACTTACATTAGGGTTCTCTCGGTGTTTTATATTCTGTGGGTTTGGACAAATGTATACTGATATGTGGGCTTCCCTTGTAGCTCAGTCAGTAAAGAATCTGCCTGCAGTGCAGGAGACCTGGGTTTGATCCCTGGGTTGGGAAGATCCCCTAGAGAGGGGAATGGCAACCCACTCCAGTATCCTTGCCTGGAAAATCTCATGGACAGAGAAGCCTGATGGGCTGCAGTCCATGGGGTCGCAAAAGAGTCAGGCACGACTGAGCGACTAACACTAACTATACTGATATGTGTCCACTTCCCCAGTGGTGCTGGTGGTGAAGAACCCACCTGCCAATGCAGGAGACATAAGGGGCGCGAGATTGGTCCCTGGGCTAGGAAGATCCCCTGGAGGGGAGGGCATGGCAACTCGAGTATTCTTGCTGGAAAATCCCACGGAGAGAGGAGCCTGGCTGGCTACGGCCCATCAGGGTCACAAAGAGTCAAAGAAGACTAAAGCGACTTAGCATGCACCCATACTGACACGTACGCACCACGATCGTGTCATATAGAACATGACGTCATACAGAATAGTTCCACTGCCCTAAAAATACTCTGTGCTCTGTCTATTCAACCTTCCCCTCCCTGCTGATCTTTTTACTGTTGCCATAGTTCCGCCTTTTCCATAATGTCACATAGTTAACATCCATCATGCAATATGTAGCCTTTTCAGACTGGCTTCTTTCACTTAGAAATATGCATCTGAGTTTCCTCCATGTCTTTTCATAGCTTGACAGCTCAGTTCTTTTTAGCACCCAATGATCATTCCATTGTCTGGCTGTATCACAGCTTATCCATTCACCTACTTGGTTGCTTCCAAATTTGGGCAGCAGTTATGAGCAAAGCTGCTATCAATATCTGTGCGCAGCTTTTTGTGGAGACCTGTTTTCAACTCCTTTGGGTAAAAACGCAAAAAGCAGGGTTGCTGGCTCGTATGATAAGGGTAACATTTAGTTTTGTAAGAAACTGCCAGACTTTTACAAAGTGGCTGCACCATTTTGCACTTCCACTCGGAATAATTGAGAGTTCCTGTCTCTGTACATCCTTACCAGCGTTAGGTGTTGTCAGTGTTCTGGATTTGGGCCCTTCTCATAGTTGTGATATCTCGCTGTTGTTTTGTTTTGTTTTGTTTTGTTTGGGCTGTGCTGAGTGGCTTGTGGGATCTTATTTCCCCAACCGGGGGTTGAACCCAGGCAATGGCAGTGAAAATGCCGCATCCTAACCACTGAACCACCAGGGAATTATCTCACCATCCTTTTAAATTGCAATTCCCTACAACATACGATGTTGAGCCTCTTCACATGCCTACTTGCCATCTGTGTATCTTCATTGAGGTATTTGTTCAGGCCTTTGGCCCGTTTTGTAATCAGATAGTTCATTTTTTTATTGTTGAGTTTTAAGACTCCATATATTTTGGATGACAGTCCTGGATGAAACATACATTTTATCAACATTTTCTCCAGGTTGGTGGCTTGCTTTCTCATTCTCTTGACATTATCTTTCACATGAGCGCAGAAATTCAACATTTTAATAAAGTCCAGCCTATCAGTTGTTTCTTTCACAGATCATGCCTCTGGTGTTATATCCAGAAATTCACCTGCATACCCAAGGTCACCTTAATTTTCACCTGTATCATCTTCTAAGAGTTTTTTAGTTGTGTGTTTTACATTTAGGTCCATGAACCATTTTGAGTTCATTTCCTATGAAGGGTGTTAGGTCTGGGTTTAGATTCCTTTTTTTTTTTTTTTGCATGTTTGAGCAACATTTGTTGGAAACACTATCTTTGCTTCATTGTATTGCCTTTGCTCTTTTGTCCAAGGTCAATTTGCCATATTTATGTGGATCTATTTCTGGGCTCTATTCTGCTCTATTGGTCTTTGTTCTTTTGCTGATACCAAATTATTTTGATTACTGTAGACTTTGATAAGTGTTGAGGTCCAGTTGTGTCAGTTCTCTGACTTTGTTCTCCAATATTGAGTTGGCTATTCTGGGTCCTTTGCCTTTCCATGTAAACCTTAGAATCAGTTTGTCGATATACACAAAATAACTTGCTGGAATTTTTATTGAAACTGCATTGACTCTACAGAGCAAGTTGCATCCAGGTTGTTTTTACTTCCAAGTTATCATTCTTATCCCATGATATTTTAAAA